CCCATCCTATGGGTTGTTCTTACCATCGGTATGATTATCTTCATTGTGGATGAGCTGTCATTTCTTCTTTCTAAGAGATTCCTCCTCTTCAAACTGAACCTTTATTAATTTTGATGGTACCCACAGTTTTTCTTCTCCAGTGGAAACAAGAGCAAAACCACATCCCCAACACAGCACATATCCTGGCATCCATTGCGAGGTCAACACATCTTTGAAATAAGCTGGTTGATTTGATTCAACAGACTTTTCCATTACCCAATGACTTTCTGCAGACATTGTACCCTTTTCATGAGCGTTGAAATAACTCAAGGTTAATAAAGCATTATGAGTGAGCAGAGCTGGGAGCTGGGAGCCAATGGCTGGGTGCTCAGAACAGGTGAGGTCCAGACCTGGGGCACTAGCGCAGGACATAGCACCAAGTGAGGCCGCTGGTGCAGGCACAAGCTCCTTGCTCTTAGGTCCCCTCACTCTGGGCTGGGATGTGGGAGAAAGCTGCCTGCAGAAAGGGCATGAGGTGGTGCGGATATCAATGAACAAATGGATGTGGTGTGGCCTCAACTGGCCAGAGCCTTAAAGGGCTCCAAAAAGCCCCAAGGACGGGAACCAAGTGATGGTGCATTCGATCGGCATGCTAGAATTAACCAGACCAACTTTAAACAACAGATATAATTTAATAATTGAAAACGGGGAAACTCACACGACCTGGGTAAAGGTTCCCATGTCCAAAACAGGTCTGAAGAACACCGTGCAAAGAGAGACAAAGAGAGCTAATTCACCTGGATTCCCAGGTTTTCTTCCCTGGCCCCAGGCAGCTGCACCCTAGCCAAATGTGATTGGCTGAGCTTCCCCATCCAGAGACCAACTTCCTCTAAAGGGTGGTGACAGAAAAAGTTAACTCAGTCTCTTAGCCATTGAAAACATTCTTCTTGCCTGAAGGTGACATAGATGTTTTCAGAAAGAAAGAAAAGTAAGAGTCCTGAGAACAAGCAGAAATACACAAATATAAACAATCAGAAATTCTTCAGGCTGAAGAAAAGAATACCAGAAACAACAACATCCTTTGTTGCAAATAAAGACCATCAGAAGGCTTGAATGTCTTCTTAATGCCAAGTTCCCTATTTCCACTTTTTTCCTTTAAAATACACACAGGGCCTGGCAAGTTGGCCCAGTTCCAACAGATGCTTGTGCGGAGCAGGATGGCCTGAGTTTGCCTCTTTGGGTTCAGTAAAAAGAAAGAAGTGACTCCTAAAAGTAGCCTGCTACCTTCATGTGTATATTATGACACACATGAATAAATACATGCACACAGATGAAATATAAAATATATGTGAATGCTTAAAAGCATGATAATATTTTATGTGTGTTTAACACATATGCACGTGGATTATCTATAGGGTATTGTAGAATAAAGAGCACTACAAAATGGCAAATGTATTTCTATTGTTAAGTGTTTTACATTTGAAATATGATTTCACCCTGAAGCCCATACTGCACTGAACCTCCCCATGTGTCCCCGGCTGGCCTCAAACTCATGTCCAACCCTTTGCTTCCACTTCTTGAGCCCTGGGATTACAGATGTGAGGCACCACACCTAACATCAGGATTTAAACTCTGGAGAAAGTGTTCAAAAAGCAATACTGTGTAGACTATAAAATAGTAAGGACATATAATTTATAATCACTAAAACATATCAGAAAGTCTGATGAGAAATGAGAGAATTCTAAAGCAAAAACATTAACAATAAGAGTTAGAGAAACAAAATATGAGCATATAAGAGTGCAAATGATAAAGAATAGAACGTAACAACAGATACATTAGCTATTAATGGATCAAACACAACAAATAAAGGATGAATATTTTCTGAACAGTTACACAATCAAGAACAGTAATACCTCATCTGTAAGATAGTTTAAGAAGTGTGTTTGAGGGCTGGAGAAATGGCTCAGGGGATAAGAGCATTGCTTGTTCTTCCAAAGGTCCTGAGTTCAAATCCCAGCAAACATATGGTGGCTCACAACCATCTGTAATGAGGTCTGGTGCCCACTTCTGGCCTGCAGACAGAATATTGTATACATAATAAGTAAATAAATATTTTTAAAAAAAGAAGTGTGTTTGAGGGCTGGGTGGATGGCACAGCAGTTAGCATCACTGACTGCTCTTCCAGAGGACCAGGGTTCAATTCCCAGACCCACATGGCAGCTCACAGCTGTCTGTCACTAAAATTCCAGGGGACCTGGCACCCTTACACAGGCCCATATCATGCAGGTCAAACACAAACGCACATAAAATAAAAATAAACAATTCTCTTTAAAGTAGAAGAAAAAGATGCTGGAGACAGCTGGGAACCTGTCACTGCCTTTAGAATCATTTACTGCTAGTTGCTGGGAACAGCTTCTGTTCTCAGTTTAGGTTAGTCTACTTAGATTGTTGGTGGGGTTTGCAAATCTGCTGTTTGAGAACTTAGCCCCCAGTAGGTGGCACTGTTGAAGGACTGTGGGGAGCATCCCAGGCCTGTAGCATGAGGGCTGGGCCTTTGAAGGCTGTTACACTTACCACTCACTGAATCTGATCTGTAAGCTTTGCATCCTGTCCATTGCCACATGAGGAGTCTCCACCATGTGCCGCGGTCCCCATTAACAGCACCGTGATGGCATTGGTGACACTTTTCCTGGGTAGGGAACCCATGTCAGACCAAATTGTGGGTGAGGAGTTTACAGAAACAGGGGTGATTCTAAAGCACTTGTATCACTAAAAGTCCACTCTCTCACGGGTGAGGACTCATGGATGCTGCATCTACCTGAATCTCCGGAGGTGGTGGATGACTCCAAAGTAACATCATTCTCCAGACCCAACAGAGCTGATGCACATAAGACCTCACAAAGACTGTGACATCACTCACGAGATCTGCAGGAGCTCAAGCTAGATAAAATCCCAACATGGAAGGGTAGAAGTGGCCACAAAGCCCTAGACCTAGCCAAGTGGCTATTTGTGATTGATAGCTGCTTGGAGAGGGAAAACAATTTTCTCAATAAAGTGACACTGGGTATAGCAAACACAGCCCAGAACAGGCCCCACGCCTAGTTGCTTCCAGTATAACTAGGACGCCATGGTTTTGTTTTTGACTTATAAAAGGACTGTTTTGTTTGTTTTATGCAAGAGACAGAGCATAATGTTAAGTAGGGAAAAGTTAGGGAAAGGAGAAAATATAAAATTGAATGAAAAATTTAAAAATAAGGAAAAATGAAATGTAAAATATATATGTTGAGGTGGGGCTGAGGGGATGGCTCTCGCAAAAGACCTGACTTCAGTTCCCAGACGCCAAATGGTGACTCACAATTGCCTGTTATCTAGTTCCAAGCAATCTGACACCATGTTATGAACTATGTGGGCAAATCCACAAAGACACACAGAGATAAAATATCCCTACACATAAAATTAAAATAAACAAACCCTGAAATAATATGATACAACTACTGGTTTCAATACTGCTCTTAGTCATAGGACCTGAGTTCAGTTTGGAGAACCTACTAACAGCCATCTGTATTGTGAGGCCACCCTGGGCTATTAAGTCCATGTTAAATAGCAAGACATGCAAACACACACACACATACACACGCACACACATTCTCCACATATCTGTTCATTTATATATTTCTTTCACTATTAGTGTGACTCCATATCATAAGCAATGTTGCCATCCACATTTTATACAAGAAACGAAAGGCCCAGAGAGACTGAATAAGTAGCTCCCAAGTCACAGAGCAACTAAGATGTTACCCATGATTAAGTCATGCCTCCTAGTCATCCTGATAATTGTGAGGTCAGGAAGCAACATGGGCCATCACTGTGTAACCATATGAAGGAGGCAGTAGATACAGGAAACTGAGAAACACCCAAGATGGCACATTCACGGCTCGTTTCCTAGACTCTGGAAACTACTAACTCTCAGCTCTATGACTTGGAAAAGGATCAGAAAGTCAAGGCAGGGGATCGCAGGTGGGCCAGATACTGGTTGTCAGACTTTATTCACTGGAAGGGGTATATGAAAGAGAAATATGAGTGTGTGAGGGGAAAGTGTGCGGACACTTGTTTGTCTGCCTCCCTAATTTCAAGCAGTGGAACAGAACAAAATCTACCTGTGATTGGAAATGTTGGACCAGCCTGAAAAGAAAAGCTTCTCACCAGTATCTCTGTGGACATCTAGTGGTTGTAGATGTGAATGACACCTCATACAAAATGTTCCTGTGGGGCCCAACAGTGAGGACAGGAAGGACCATGAGCCAAAGGGGAGAAGAGCCAGGGCTGTGAGAACAAGACACAGCCAGTCAGTGGGAGGAGCTGCGCTAATGCATTTCCTGGCAACTGTTGTCATGTTACCCACAGTGGGCGCTATGTTGCAGAAAACTGATGTCACAAAGCTCCTGAAACTAGAGCTGGAGTCATGGATTCATGTGTTCCAGGTAGAGAACAAGGCTCCACCCATCTATCCTTGGTCTTGCGGAGATAGGAACCACAGAAAGGGCCTTAGCCCTGTTCTTCCTGCTTTCTATTGTGGAGGCCTCCGGGCTTGAGATGGGCACCCCAGGGAGTCAGAGAATCTTACAGGACCTGCTCTGTAGGGACCATCTCCTTTCCTTGGCCAGCAGGGACTGGTAGTACAACCTGCTGCTCTCCCCTCTGTTCAGCATCCCTGGGGCCTTTCTCAGGCCTGACTAACCCCTCATTCTTACCTTCCAGGTTTAAGGTCTGAGGATTCTGCCTCCTCCCCAGGCTGAAGATGTCCATCTACTACTGCAGTCGGCTTCAGTGCCCTTCCCGACCACGGCCAGACCAACTCGTTCTGTCCCAATGGTTCTTGGTAGGCTGTGTTGCCCACTCTTGCTTAAAATGCTTTTGTTGGTCAGGCCTGAAACATGAGCAAGAAAGTAACTTCCAGATGGCTAGACTTACCCTGACTGGTGTACAGTTTCATCATCTTCTCTTTCCACTCAGCATGATTCTGGGAAGACTGTGCTGGCTGTCGCTGGCTGCTTTCTTCTCTGAGAGCTGGTGCACTGCCCCAAATGAGCTGAGGAATAATCAAGATCTGAGCCAGATGTCCAGACACCAGACTGTCTCCATTGTGCTGAAGGAAAAAGACTAAAAAGACCTAGGAATTGAGTATGATGGCAGTTGCCAGTGAAGCTATTAGGCATAACGTGAGCTCTGGGAGGACCAACAGACCACAAAAGACATGCCATAGAACAATGGGTAGGCAGCCTAGGGTCCTAAGTGACATAAAGTAAAAGTGATGGCCTACCTGGGGTCAGGAGAGTAGGAGAATGGCAGTGGGAGACTAGGGATGGCCCAGCTCAGGTCCTTCTAAACAGGATGTGACCAACAATGGGTGCGGTGGTCCATAATAGCTGAATCAGATTAAAATAGTCTCAAGACTTCCTCTGCAGGGTGGCATGCAGAATGTTCTAACCCTTTCCCCTAATAAACTTTCAACTTAGCTTTGTTTCCTCTCTCTCTCTCTCTCTCTCTCTCTCTCTCTCTCTCTCTCTCTCTCCATCCTCTGCTAGTTGGGGGAAGGTTGTTGTGAGGTTGTAGTGATGTGTGGGATATGTAAGCTCCTAGTATGATCTCACAGCATATCCAGGGAAGAGAATAACCACACCGGGTGATCAAATACAGGTGTGTGTGTAGCAGTGGTGTGCGTGGGTGGGTGTGGGTTTCTGTGCACACTTCTGGTAGATGCCTAAGGACAGCTATGGGTGTGTTTTCACAGGTGCTGTCTCTTTTTTTCTGAGACAGGGTCTTTATTGGCCTGAAGCCGACAAAATGGGGTAAGTGGTCTGACTGGTAAACCCAAGGAACATTACGACTGCACAGTTTTTTGCTGGATTTTAAGTACAGACTACCAGAACTGGAGTTTTTACTTAGATTCTAGGGGTGGAATTTGTGTCCTCTGCTTGCTAACTGAGCTATCCTTCAGATGCTAGTATGAAGTTTTATTTGGGATACAAGATAATCAGACATGTAGTTTTTTTAATAAAGTGGATGTACTAAAAAAGGTGGCTATATTCTGAAAACTTTAACTTAGACCCTGAGAGTTAAGTGTTTCCCAAACCAGCTAGGCCTCCAAAACACCAAGGTATTATTCCACCAAAACGCAACATGGTGAACCAAAGAGTTTAAAACTTACAGCTAACGGATGAGGGATTACTTACAGGTGCAGAGCAGCGACTGACTGCTGTGTGGAAGAAGGATTCCTTCTCTGTAGCTGGGTAGATGGAAGTGCCTGCCCTGTCCGTGGACCTTCTACACTCTTGGTACTCTAGCATCTCCAGAGGCGAGGAAACCACATGTAACTGGAACAGAATCTCACACAGCGGAAAAGGAGATGCTTCAAGGAGAAGCTGGGATCTTAGGTGAGAGTCTAATGACACCTGCCCCAAGTCTTGTATAAAGAAACTTCAGCAGGTAGGTGGTGGTAGGGTGTATAACAGGGAAACTGAGTAAGCCATGGAAAGCAAGGCAGTAAGCAGCATTCCCACCATGGCCTCTGTATACTGGTATATTTGTGTTTAAATAAATAAAGCTTGCCTGAAGATCAGCGGGCAAAGCAGCCACACTCATCAGCTATACGGGACAGGGCGGGGTGGGGGTGGTGGCACACACCTATCATCCTAGAACTGAGAAGACAGAGGCAGGCAAATTTCTGTGAAACGTTAATGTGTTGCATCCTTCCCTCCTGTCTTTATATCAATGGAGTCAACTTTGGGAAGAGCATGTGCACATTACACCGTGATGAGGCTTCCATGAGACGTTCTTTTCTGAAGTACATCACCTCCATCAAGGTTGCAGAGAACATCAAGTTCTGCATGTTGTATATTGTTCATTTTATAAAAGGTTCCTCCAGAAATGGAAGCCTCACAGACATGGTGGCTGTCCTAGTTTTATTGTCGACCTACCACAGTGTCAACTGAGAGGGAAGCCTCTACTGAGGAACTGCCTACATCAGATTAGGAGGTTGGTCTTTGGACACATGTGTGTGTGGTTTCCTTGATTATTATCTCACATAAGAGATCCTGGTCCGCTGTAGGCAATACAGGGAGGAGGCTCTGGGTTAGATAAAAGTACCAGGGAAGCATGAACCTATGAGCAATCCAGAGAAGGGACAAAGAAACAGCGCTCTTCCTTCCAGGCTTCCTTCCTGCAGGTTCCTGCATTGAGTTCCTGCCCGCATTTCCCCAGGGATGAACTGTGACTTGGAAGCTTGTGCAAATAAACACTTTCTTCTCTAAGCTGATTTTGTGTTGGAGTTTTTACAACAGCACCAGAAACTGCTACTGTGGCCCACCCTGTTGGCAGGCAAGGGCAAGGGAAGGCACATTCCAGACTAGTCTGGGCTACATAATGAAACACTGAATCAAAAACTAAAACCAAAACCATAGTGATAACCACAAAATGAAAGTGTAAATCCACTCTTAGGAATACAAGTCGCTGAACAACAGTATTCTGCTGTTTCATGGAATGCCAATGCCTGTCTCTAATGTTCATTCTCTCCTCTCAGAGTCATCAAAGTCCTCCTGTCTCTTGGGCTTTCTAATACTACTGCATGTATGAGGTGAATTTACCTACCATGCCTTCCTTTAAAGGGACCATGGAATTGATTTTTCGTGTGAGTGGAAAAAGTGAGTGAAAAAAAGCCTCATTTGTATACATGGATAGCCGAAAATCCCAAGACCACGTATTGAAAAGATGGCACTCCCCACCATCCACTTGAGGTGCTACCACACCTAGTATGATGTGTTTTATTAAAAAAGCAGTGACTTTCTCATCAGTGACCTTGGACCCTAGAAGAGAGGGAGGGCGTATTTTACCAATAAGCTAGAATTAAGCAGACCAGCTGAAGAAAACGGATATAATTTAGTAATTGAAAAGGATTAACTCACAGGACCGGGTAAAGTTTCCCAGGTCCAAAACCAGTCTGGCTAATGCAGCAAGAAGAGTGCAAAAGAGAGCAAGGGCAGCTGGATTCCCAGGTTTTCTTCCCTGGCAGCCACACCCTAGCCAAAAGAGATTGGCCGAGCTTCCCTATCAAGAGAGCAACTTCCTCTAAAAGGTGGTGACAGAAAAAGTTAACTCAGTCTCTTACCCATTGATAACATTCTCCAAGCCTGAAGGTGACAGAGATGTTTTCAGAAAGAAAGAAAAGTAAGAGTCCTGGGAACAAGAGGAATACACAAATATAAACAATCAGAAATTCTTCTGGTTGAAGAAAAAGACCAGAAACAACAATATCCTTTGGTGCAAATAAAGACCATCAGAAGGCATGAATGTCATCTTAATACCAAGTTCCCTATTTCCACTTTTTTTAAAAAATACACACAGGGCCTGGCCAGATTACCCTATGCTTATAGATGCTTGCGCCAAACACAATGGCCTGAGTTTGCCTTCCTGGGTACAGTGAAAAGAAAGATGTGACTCCTAAAAGTAGCCTGCTAACTCCACGTGTATATTGTGACACACATGAATAAATACATGTGGACAAACTGTAAAATATATGTGAATTCTAAAAAGCAAATAATGATATTTTAGGTATGTTTAACATATATGCACATGAACTAACCACAGTGTATTGTAGAATAAAGAGCACTAGCAAACAGCAAATGTATTTCTATTGTTAAGTGTTTTACATTTGAAATATGATTTCACCCTGCAATCCATACTGCACGGAACCTCCCCATGTGTCCCCGGCTGGCCTCAAACTCATGTCAAACCCTTTGCTTCCATTTCCTGAGCCCTGGGATTACAGATGTGAGGCACCACACCTAACATCAGGATTTACTTTCTGGGGAAAGGGGGCAAAAAGCAATACTGTGTAGACTATAAAATAGTAAGGACATATAATATATAATCACTAAAATATATCAGAAAGGCAGATCAGAAATTATAGAGTTCTAAAGCTAAAACATTAAAATTAAGAATTAAAGAAACAAAATAAAGAGGCATACGAGTGCAAATGATAAAGAATAGAACGTCACAACAGATACATTAGCTATTAATGGATCAAACACAACAAATAAAGAGTAGAACGTCACAACAGATACATTAGCAATTAAAGGATCAAACACTGCAAATGATAAAGAGTAGAACGTCACAAGAGATACATTAGCTATTAATGGATCAAACACTGCAAATAAAGAGTAGAACGTCACAACAGATACATTAGCTATTAATGGATCAAACACTGCAAATAAAGGAGGAATATTTTCTGAACAGATGCAAAAGCAAGAACAGTAATACATTATCAGAAAGATAGAGATATTAAGAAGTGTGTTTGAGGGCTGGGAGGATGGCACAGCAGTTAGCATCACTGTCTGCTCTTCCAGACAACCCGGGTTCAATTCCCAGCACCCACATGGCACCTCACAGCTGGCTGTCAATAAAATTACAGGGGACCTGGCACCCTCACACAGGCCTAAATCATGCAGGTCAAACACTCACGCACGTAAAACAAAAATAAGTAATTCTCTTTAATGTAGATGAAAAAGATGCTGGTGACAGTGGTAAAGCTGCCACTGCCTTAAGAATCATTTAATGCTCATTTAGAACGGGCTGGTTGCTGGGAATAGCTGCTGCCTTCAGTTCAGTTTAGTCTACTTAGATTGTAGGTGGGGTTTGCAAGTTCGATGTTTGAGCACTTGGCTCCCATCAGGTGGCACTGTTGGAGGAGTGTGGGGAGCATCCAAGGCCTGTAGCATGAGGGCAGGGCCTTTGAAGGCTGTTACACTTACCACTCACTGAATCTGATCTGTAAGCTTTACATCCTGTCCATTGCCACATGAGGAGTCTCCACCATGTGCCGCGGTCCCCATTAACAGCACCGTGATGGCATTATGTGACACTTTTCCTGGGTAGGGAACCTATGCCAGACCAAATTGTGGGTGAGGACTTTACACAACTGGGGTGATTCTAAAGCACTTGCATCACTAAAAGCCCACTCTGTCACGGTTGAGGACCCACGGAGTCTGCATCTATCTGAATCTACGGAGGAGTTGGATGACTCCAAAGTAACCT